CACTGCTTAGATGAATATGCTGTTGGCTCAGAGAACCCATTCTTTCATCCTTTACCTGTGCTATGTGTGTATGACCCAGTCCCATGAGGTGGTCATCAGAACGTGAATTGCTTCGGATAACACTTTGTGTTTTGTGATGATCATCCATTTTTGAAACAACATAGATGACATTGGGAGCAGCCATGTTGTTGTCTGCTGCTGTACCCTCCATAGATGCCTGCTGGAGAGCTTCTAGCTCCTGGATAGGAAGCTCTTCAAGTTTCTGTTTGACATATGTTGGCTTTATGTCCTGTATTGAGGATCTGACGTTATTTTGTAAGGCTTGAGCAGATGAAGAGTAAGTAGGCAACGGTGCAGACAAAAGATATTTATGGGGCTGTGCTTGTTGCTGGGACATAGTGTCATGTGTTTTACCTCCCACTGAAGCTTGCATGAGGTTGTAGTCTTGTGTAGAACTAGATGTGGCCAAACTCCGCACACATGTGGGTGGGTAAGAGTTAAGGGATTGGTTAAGGGATTGTCCTGTGGCGTAACTCTGAGACTGAGTTACCGAAGCTTGCCCCTGTGACTGAGATGTAAAAGTCACATTTGGGGCACCCTGAGAGTGGGATGTGGGGTAGCTCTCAGAGAGATTCCCCTGACACAAGCCCTGGACCTGGGCTCCATACTGGACCTCCTGCCCCTGGCTCAGGCCGGGACTGGAGGAGTAAACAAGAGTTTGACTAACAGTTGCCACATTACCAGACTGGCTAGAGAGGGAAGGTAGAGTCTTGTAAAGGGATGAGAGTTTGTCGGAGGTGGAACTAGAGGGCTGTGACTGTGTTTGGGGGGTGATATAGGTTTGAGACAGACTGCTGGACATTAGGCTAGGCAGCTGGACTGACTGCTGATTAGCAATCACTGAGTTCTGGTTCTGTCCTGGGGAGGAATATCGCTCCGGTTCTGTCAGGTTCTGAGTGTGGCTGTGACTCTCTTCACCCCCAGCAGGGTGTGGAGCTAGTTTGGCAGAGCAGTCTTTAGCCTTCGGCACCGAAGTGGACGAATAAGCTTGAGTTACTGAGTCTGTTTTGGGTTGTGGAGCACCATTGACCCCTTGAGAGGAATCTACCCCAGTGGAAGGGCTGCAGGAAACTGGGGTGTGACGGGACGTGTCCTGCTGGTAGGACACATCCGCTTCATTGCCAGAACCAAAGTACCCTGGTAAGGAGTGCTCTGAATTGGGCAACTGCTCTGAGGCCGTGTGGCTGCTAGAAGGCCTCTGGTGGTGTTTGATCACACTACATTCACGCTGAAGAGCTCTTTCAATAGAGCCTGAAAAAACAGTGGCTCCATAGGGCTGTGTGGCACCATGAGGGGCAGGCAGGGTAGAAGGTAGCAGGCTGAACTGGGGTTGTAGGAGGTGGGGGGCTGACTCCTGGGCTGAACGGTAAGTGGAGGACTGGACAGGCAAAGCAGAGCCCAAACCAGGGGTAGAGAGATGATTGAAGGCCAGGGCACTAGGAAGCACAGTCTGGCTTGATTTGAGATGTAGGAGGGGGTCATGGTGAGAGAACAGGCCATTGGTGGAAGTGCTGAAGGCAGGATCCTGGAGAGCCAGGGAAGGGTTGGTAGCGTAACTCCTGGAAGGGTAGGCACCGGTGTGCTGATAGGACGACAGAGCAGCAGGCGAGGGGAAAGTGGCAGTAGAAGGCAGAGCACCAGTCAAGTACAGCTCTGTGGTGGAGGAGTTTGTACCTGTGTGGCACAGAATAGACAATATAAGGACAGGACAGGCAACGTGAAGGGACAGAATCTAAACAAAATTCAACACAATAAATAAAATTTGTATACACAAAAGATAAAGGTAGTGATAAACAAAAATTTTAAATACTAACCAATGGGTTTAATTTTGCTTACACTTATGTTAAATGACTTTTCATTAAAACAATTAAAAAGACTAAATGAGTGGATGTGTTCTCACCAGCAGGCCATGATGGGGGTCTAAAAGGAGGAAGCAGTGAGGCACTAACAGGACCAGCCTGAAGGCTTCTAGACTCCATGGCTGACAGGAAGCTCATGATTGAGGTCTCAGAACTATTACTGTTTGAGTCAAGTGTTCCTGACAGTCAAAAGAGGAAGAGAGAGATGATCACAGAAAGAGACAATGTGAACAAGGGCATTTGAAGGAAATAAATTCAACAGCCTAAAATATTGCTAACCTAAATTGTTGGTTTTATATACTAAGGTTTAAGATATTTACCTCTGAGTTTTCTCCACCCATAATACAATGACGGTGGAAAAAGTGGTACAGTGCTCAAAGCATTTAAAAAAGGCACAGCTGAATAATTTTTTTTGTAATACAGGCTGTTTCTGCTGAGGAAATTGTCCCAATTATGCATTTCCAATGTCTGTGGATTATCCAAAGTAACAGGGGGCATGAAAGACACATTATGGTTGAGTTTATCAAATATAATTTGATAATAATCACATCTTCATTCACCTCCACCTATTTGAGTGCAAACCTCAGCATATAAAACCAAAAGTATCTGCATAATTAGATGCCTCTAGCAGTAAGTAAGAAAGTAAGGATTGTTATATAGCTAAACTGAGTCCTTAAAGACATTGCTTACAGCATCCATAACTCACCTGCTGCAGCAGGAAGGTGTGATGTAGTGTAGGTGGGAAGCTGGTGGGTGGAAGTGTAGCTTTGCCGCTGGAGGAGCTCTGCATCAAGGTGTGTTGCACCATAACTGGGACTGTATGAACACACAAACACATGTGAGTTCTCATCTTCACGAGCAGCACAGCACCAAACTATGTATGAACAAGCAAATTGTGTGTCTTGACACACAGCGCACCGCTAAATACAGATTATAATGTGATTTAACACTTATGCATTCACCGATTTCTAAAATAATAGCAAATGGCCTTGTCCGTTTAGAAATGACAATTTCTTAGCCTAATCGACAGCCACAAACTACAGACCTGTGTTACTTAGGTCACAACACATCCAAAAATCAGTTATATTAGCATTTCTGAACATGTAATCAACACATTCATGGTATAATTTACTCGATTAATCATTATTGTACACTGATTAGCAGAATAGTAGAATGATTTGTTTTTTGTCATGCAACAAGTCAACTGAGTAATCATTTCTGTAGTCTAATTTAGTTGATCACCTTTATTTACCTGCTCTCTCTTTCTCGCTCTCTTTATGCTTTAGGATAAATATGTGAAAAGACTCAAGAGATGCACAGAACTGCATGGATGATAGCCTTCACAAGTGCTACTTTTATCTCACATATTTGAAGCAGATACTACAATTTTGTCATCGAGCATAGTCCCTCTTTTCATTATTATAATGTGCAGTAGAAAAACAACAGTCTCGAGTTCGCCTAAGTTAGAGCTCTGCAAGTTTTGCAGGTTTTGTGGTGACATTCACTCTGTTTTAGAAAACATAAAGTAAGTTACAAGATAGCAGTGGTCTCTATAAAGGGTCTTATACAAAGAATAGTGGCTCAAATATGCACAGACCTCGACACGTCGCCTCTTTGCTCTTGGGTAACAACACCAATAGCTATGTACCACTAATTTGAAGTGCTATAACTGACATGACTAGCATCGGTTGCTAGTTACCTATCTTGTTTTGGCTTTGGTGAGCACCTGTGGGTCAAGAAAACAGGCCGATAACATGCTAGTTTAAGCTGCCTAGCTGCTAAAATTGTTACAGATATATAACAACACTACTATCTAGTTTGTAGTAACTCTGTTCATGGCCATGCTGAGGAGACGGTGTGCTAGCGAAAACTAGCAAGGTGGGAGACAGTAACAAACGGCTAAGAAACCACTGACAACTCAAAGCCTCCACAACTCCGCTGAAATTCCCACATTTCTCCCAATTCCTCCACCGACAACGACACGGACCACCGTACTTTTCTCTAAGAGCAAAGCTAGGCCCTCCATCACCGAAATTTCCTTCGGAAGGTGACCCGCCCTCTCCTTCATCTTTTACCTTGGCTTGATACTAGCTGTGCTGCGGTCATAGGCCCAAGAAGCTACGGTCTGTGCTGGTGGAGCCAGCGCGTCCGCAAAGCTGGAGGTCGGGTAGTTCCTGTCCATCATCCGGTGAAAGATTCACTTCCCCGACGGAGCTTCGTGGAGCAGCGGACACACATCGTAGCAGCCCGGGTCCTACCCACCGACCGACCGACCGACCGACCAGGGCAGGCAGTCCCGTCTGAGCAGTTCGGCAAAACCCGCCGCGAAGCAGCTATATTCCCGACAAAAAGCCTACCTTTCCTCCCTCTGAGAGATTTCGTTAATTTTTGTTCATCTCCCGTCATGTAGAGTCGTGAAAGCCCTGCATGGTTTCACGTACCCATGTTATTAGGTTTCCCAGGATGCACCACAGACTTTGGCTGCAAGTTTTGTAGTTTTCCTTCCTTCTACCCAAAAGTTCATATGTCTCCCTCCTGCATGGTTCCTGGGATCATGTAGATTCCAAAACTTTTCTGTAACGTCATGAAAGCCCAACATTGGTTGTAGCCTGCCTCTGCTAGTGTACAGTGTTGAAATAATAAGAATAATCGTTAAGTCTAAAATAGTTTTGTGCATACTATCATTAATTTCTATAAAATTTAACAATAACAATAATAAGCTGAATGACATTTCAAAAATATTAAGAGCCCCAGTTCCAGATGTAATGGAGCCTGTTGGAAAATGAAACTTGAAATAAATTTGTGCTTTTATTAGCAGCCATATTAATTAACTCAACTAAAGGATAGGTTCATATCAGGTTTGAACCTGGTTGTTCTGGTCTAAAATCATAATACTTGTGAAAAGGTACTAACTGCAGTGTTCCAGTTTGCACATTTCTATTACAGTTGAAGAAAATATCACATCTCATCTAATGCAGCTGATAAAATTCACAATAAATTTCAAAATGAGTGTGAACTTCATGCACACTCATACACAATCTCACACACAGTTGACAGATGAGACATAAAATAATTAAAATATCCATTTTATTTTAAACATCTGTACAAGGTTTTTCATTTCAGGTAGATATGCTTCAGATCAGCCAACAAACAAGCCCTCAGTAAATTCTCATTCCATTAAAATCTTTGGTAAATGTAATTTACAGCAACATAACTACTTATTTCTTGTATCTCTGCATTATTTAATGAAAATGCTCATTCAAACAACAGTTAAGTGGCTGGCTTTGGCTCAGACATGTTGAATAAACTGTTGTACTGCATCTTTTACAGCTGTTACATTGTTTTTAACTTTCATATTAATCACAGCCATAATTTTCTTGTATAACTGTAAAATTTCCTTCCATGTAAATGTAAAATGTTATAAAACTGCCTTTGAAGAGCTTCCGCCTCCATCTGTTCATAGTTCATTTAATAATTAACCACAACGTAGATATTGAAAGTAAAAATGACTTCACATATTAGTAGAGCATCCTCATTATCTGGTGACTCAAACACACATTTTCTGACACACTATTACTTCATAAAGCAGCAAGGAAATCAGCACATTAAAAAAAAAAATAAGTAAAAGATGTTGATACACAGCTGAAAGTATAAAGTGAATCTTAAAGCAAGCTGGTAGGTTCAGTGCATCAAAAACACTTCCTTTATGGCAAAATTAACAATCATGCCATTAAACGCCTTTTTTTTGGTATACTTTTCCTTCTGAAGGAGACAGGAAGCTGTACAACAACATACAGTCTGTCTCTTTGTGATTACCATTAATACTTAATGTTTAATAAAACATAATCCTAGTCATACACTCACCCTAATATACATGCTGTATCGAAAAAAGGGGGAAAAAAACGCTCCTTTAAGAGAATAAATACTCCTCCAACTTAAAGCTGCTGTGTTCAACACATTACCGAGTCTTCATTTTGATAAAAAGCAGCAAACTGGGTAAAATGTATTATAAAGCTCATTCAACACAATGCAAAGCATAAAATTATTTAATTTCAGAGAAAATAGCAGAGGCTACCACAAAACAAAATTTTGGCACTAGCAGGTCGAGCAGATAAGATCAGAAATGTATGAGTGGAAGAGAGCTTAATCAGAACAATAAACAGAAGGCATAAGGCACTGTTTTAAATCTTGTGATGATGAAAAAGAGCGGAGCATCAGAGTGTGGATATTAGTTGTATTTTCTGGGTCCAATTTCTGAAGGTACTACCGTCGAATACTTCCATGTTGTGAGCTAAAACCAAAATAAGAGGAAATGTTATAAAAATGCGTGAATTACCTGTCTGTGACTGCATTCTGGATTGTGTGTGTGTGTGTGTGTGTGTGTGTGTGTGTGTGCGCACGCACACACAAGGAGGAGCCAGAAAAGTGATTCATAACATAACTGCAAATACAAATGCATATGCAAATACCCAGGATAGGGAGGAGGTGGGGCGTCATGTTGTCCACTTTTCGCGATTGCCTGCTCGTAGGAAGGCAGTCCTGGGGGATCAACTTCCTCCATAAGGGCTGGGGGTCCAGGTGGGAGCACAGGTTGTAAGGAAACCTCCTCTAGCCGTCGCATTATTAGAGAAGCATTACTTCTCCTCGGGCGGACCCGAATGGAACTGTGAGAGAATTGTGGACATATATATTCACATGCGTCATTCACCTGTGACCTACTTAATACCTCCAAGTATTGAAGTTAAAGTGAAAACCAACTTGTGATAAAACTGTGCACAACAAAGGGCATTTTTAGGCCCCACCAGTGCTACATGGTGTGACAAGAAGAAGAAACATATAGCTAGAACAGGTGGAGAGCTGAAACAATTAATCGATTAAATGATTCGTCAACTGACTGAAAATCAATCAGCAACTATTTTGATAGCTGACTACCCATATAAATCAAAATTCAATCAAAACCACAGAACATTCACTGATGATGTGAGTATTTGATGTGTTTCTTTATCGTGAGTCATTGTAACCTGACTATCTGGGTTTTGTGAGGAAAAACAAGCAATCTGATTATGTCAGCTTGGACTTTGGGAAACTGACAGATATTTTCCACTGTTTCATTTTATGATAAGAAAATAATCTGCAGATCAATTGATGGTAATTTTTAGTTACAAACCTAAATACGTGACAACTATGGATACTAAACAAGAGTAGCATCAAGTCATACTGTAAAATCTGGGTTGCAGTTAACAGCATATGAAAATGTCCAAATTCGTAAAATAGTGTGTGTTTTATTTTATATGGTGGCAGTTTGTTCACGTACTGGGGTTCATAGCGCAAAAGTGCCTTGCGATAACGTACCTAGAAGATGGTTGTATTTCTATGGTAAAAAGTGTGGTGAGATGATGTAACTTCCATTAATATTAATAAAGACCCTCTCACTCACCTTGCACGGCTGAAGTCACCCTTGCATTTGCCCTGACAGAAATACCACATCAGGAGACCAAAGATAACAATGGCCACTCCAGCAGCAATCAGTCCCACCAAAAGAGATGTCACATCAACCCGTGTGGGCCGCTTGTCCTTATCTGTGGATCAGCACAAACCACAGAGCACAAGGAGACGGAGCTGAGCTCGTTTGATAACTTCAGCGAGTTGTTCTACATAAAAAGTAGCCACCTGAACATTACATGACTGCTCCTCTTTTTCATCTGCTATTATAGCTTACATTTGGCTTCAAAGCAGAAATGAAGTATAGTTGGATTATTTACAGTGACATCTACACAATGATGAGATCAAAACCCAAATTCAGTCCTTAAAACAAAACAAATGAAAGTTGCAGACACTGTATGACCCACAGCTTGACATAAGTAGCTCCTTGAGTTATGGACCAAAGCTACGGGGCAAAGCTGAACAGGTGGTGAAACAGGTTTTGAAAACACCATAGTTGTCCCTGCTACAGGCAAGGCACAAAGGTTCCTAAATAATACAATACTATTCTCTTTATGTTTCATGACATGATGATCTTTGTAACAAATTGAGGTATAGGCCTGCCTGCCTGCCCCCCTCTCCCTCTCTCTCTCTCTCTCTCTCTCTCTCTCTCTCTCTCTCTCTCTCTCTCTCTCTCTCTCTCTCTCACCTTCAGTGTATTTCTTCCAAAAAGCATCCTGCAAAACAAGAAAAAGAAAAGAAAAAAAAAAAACATCGTCAGTGCGGTGAACTCTGCTGTAAGGGCTCTTTCTATCTGCTCATTTAATGACCTCAGTAAGCAGCTCATTGAACAGCATCACTTAACTGTAGCCGGGGTGTTTTCAAAGACCTCCCTCGCCTCCTCGTAATTGCACACTTCTTCATAACACTCCCGCTCCAGATTTCCAGGAACGAAGATCTCAAAGTCAAACCGGTTGAACAACAGATGGCGACCCAGGAACGTATTTGCATCCTCATTATCTACAAACACTATAAGGAGCGTGAACAAACAGATGACATGATTAACAAGAAGGCTGACAGACCTTGGGGTTGGGAATTCGTCGCTACAACATCTCACACCTTCTTGGTCCTCTTGTTTGGAGAGTAAGCTCCTCGTGCAGGCCAGATCTCCACAGGACAGCAGTTGAAGGAGAATGAACAGATGAAACAACATGCTGATGCGTGCACCTGCGCGCGGACAGCGGGTGGGGCATTAAATGACAGTACAGAGGGCAGACTAGGCCATCAGTAACAACTTCCACAAACTATTATATGTACACTTTTCTTAAACCAAACAGCTACAGGTTCTTATAGTCTACATTACCTATGATGAAAAGTGGCGCATAATGTTGGAGGGAGTTCAACACCATCAAAATGAAACCTGGAACAGCGGTGGATACGTGTCCGAGCTTCGACGCTGATAAGATGAATCAGGAAACGTTCAGGCGAATGACACAAACAACTGTCACAAAATTTCCTCTGAAAAAAAGTTAACGCGGCTCATAATTTGTCTACAAAATACGACAAACCAAGGATGAAGTCGTCACCAAGTCAGCCAAGACAGTTCCTGTGGGTTAAAAAAAGGTTTTGTTTACTCCCAACAGATGTGGCCTCAGTTCTTCCTTAACCACCTGCGCAGACTCAACCAATCGATCACGTTTACCTGGATAATTTGATAAGTCGTGTAAAGTGGCCACTAGATGGCGGCTGTAACCACGAAAGTGAAAGTGCTCTTTAGCAAGTCTTATCACATCCGTGTATTAAATAGGAATACACATACATCATCAGACTTCTGACTCTGAGTCAGAAACCACAACTCCCAATGCCAAATCATTTGTAGGCCTTTACTCTTGATCACACTTAATGACTTGCTGTTAATGTATGGTTTTGTTAAGCTTTTTTAATTGTTGCAATCAAGGAAATTTGCTATGAACCAGAGCAGAGCTAAATGAAATAAATCTAAAATGTGAAGGTAAGGGGGTAAATATTGAAAATTATGAATGCTTGTGACTGCTCAAGGGTTTTTAACACACTAGCTCTCAAATATATCAATGTATGTATATAAGCTTAATGCTGCAGTATTTTTATGGTACTAAACAACTAAAACATTTTAACACTACTTTTAAATAGGCTACCAAGTAATAGATTTATTAGGTCTTCAACCCTATTTATTGCAGGACTTTTGTCATGTAACCTTTGGTTGACCAACTAATTTACTGGGATCATGTAAACATTTCTTACTTTAAAGACCCTTTAAATTTCAGTTTGCCTAAACATCTGAACTGCTTCAGTCTCAGTGTCTTTTTCATTTTTACAATGCTGTATCTTCATTTATAATTGGGTGTAAATTACTGTTGTAACACAATGCTATCATTAGGGATCGTTGCATCAGGATTCTTTTAAAAGCACTAAACCTTGTCTCATACGATCTCTTAGTAGCTTGGGAGCTGGTGACTACACCCCTGTGTATGGGCCTTGTATGGGAAAAGGTTGTGTAATGGGCTCCAGAGTCATTTTGACAGAGAAGTGACTTCTTTGATAAAATGCACTTAGTTCAGCCTGTTTTTTTTTTTTACCACAAAGATTGGTCACTATAGCAACTTTACAAACATCACGAGCAGCAAAACATGGAGCAACACTGTGAAGATAAAGCTTCCCATTCTGCTCAGCTAACCATCCTCCATAAAAGTGTTTATGTTTGACACTCTCCATATAAATAGACATATCTGTCTCAGAGCCTCTGGGCCTCTTGGTCAGTGTTTATGTAAAGCAGAGATAGGATGCAATTGAACATTATCTCGCTGACTTCTGGATGGTACTAATTGAAGGGCAGTGAGAGCCCCTCTCTTGTATTTGGCTACATCTCTGGAAACTGTCAGACTCTTAGATTTACCCAGAGGAATGTCGATATGAAGAAAAGGGGTGAAGAAAATGAGAAATCCCAGACATTACCCAGTGTGTAATGTCAGATGATATTGCCACCTTACACCATAGACTATGACATTGAAGTTATAATGATTAATAGTGTTTTACTGGTGAGGAATTCACACTCAGTGAGCTAACACAACGAGGTTTAAGCTCAGACACAGTCAATAGTGACCAGTGGTGGAAGAAGTGTCCAGATTCTTTACTTGAGGTTCACAATTTTTCAAGCCTGCCTTAAAACAACAGTCAGGTGCCCATATGAACACTGAAATAGCTTGTGCTTACTGAAGTCATTCCTCTTGTTCATACTGGTCATTAAGAGAACCCTGCTTAATCCATGTCCAATGTAAATGAAGGGGGACAAAATCAACAGTCATTGTTATGTGTGAAAACGCATTTTAAAGTTTAACCAAAGTTAATTTGATGCTTGTCAAGTCCAGTAGATATCTTCCATTCCATTTCCATAGACTGTCAGGGGAATTTTATACTAAAAGGACCAGAGATATCTACTTGATGTCTCTAACTCATCACATCTGATGCCTCATATTAGCTTCAGATAAACTTGCAATTAAGCAAAAGCTGTTTCAATGTCCATAACAGCACCAGCCTATTGTTTTAAGACTGCCTTTACAAACTGTGGACCTCTCCTTTCAGTAAAAGTACCCGTGCATAGCATACAAAGTATTAAACAATGTAAAAAATTATATTACAAGTAAAAGTCTTCAATTCTTTTGTGAGGGCTTACAAGCAAAAAAAAGTTGGGAACCATTGGTCTAAACTTGAACAATGCATTTTCCAAATGCTATATCAACTCATTTGCTTTTCATCACTAAACAAAACAGAAAAAAACTCTATCTGACTATGATAAGAAGGGGTCATGGCATTTGCACCAGATAAACCAACTTCAGCAAACAGTATTTACATCTGGGACATCTCACATGATGGGGCATCCACAAAACAGTCACTTGAAGCCAGTGAGACAAATTAGAGACAAGAAGAGAGGGGGATCACTGTCCAGAATGAGAAAAGTAGCTGAAAAGCAATATCTTGCAAAGAAAAGGAGCATATGCTGAGAGATGGAAACGAAGATATAAAGCTTTGCAAACATTCTGTTAAGCCTTGGTCACATTAGTTTCTATCTGCTCTGCGCTCCACCTTGCGGGTGGCTATGATGAGGTTATGCTCTTGAGAATGTGTTTTGTGATTTACACCCTCTGATAAGAAGTGGAGATGCTGCTCCCTGAGGACAACTGGGCAGAAGTGAGCGGTGAGCCTCAGCAGACCTCTGGCATGATAGAAAAGAAAACACACTGCAGCAATACATGTATTTCACTACTGCCCATTTAATCTGAGTAACAGTATATTAGTAGCAGGGTTGCAGTGTACAGATAATTAAGTTACCCAGGACAGAATAAGGAGTGGCACAACACAAAAAAAAAAAGTAAACAGGTTGAGCTGTAGCTTCATTAGTTCCAAGAAAATGGGTGCACTGTGGATTTGGGTGGGGATTCAAAGAGTGCAATGTCAGTAGTCTGCACTTTGTCAGTTTGTGCTGATTTCATCACAGCCCCAGAGGGAGAGAACTCCAACAGACCCCTTTTACACCTAACGCCTGGGCCATATATCATTGGAGTTCACATCCTAATGCTCTGGACCGGTGCCTGAGAACAGATCTCTTGGGGATAAACCGCACTTTACATCAATGGAGGAAAACAAGGCAAACTAAAAACAGGAAGTTTGAAGTCCTTGTTTTTCCACTTTTGCGACACTTCAGGAGTGAATGAGTCACACTGACAACAGCTGAACAAAATCTATAACCTGGTGGACAGTTTACAATTTGTAGTGGCAGTGAATCAGCTTACACCACAAGCTTTATGTGTTGATGTTTCAGTAATACAGCTCTGACCTCAGCAGACAGGGTCATCTTAAGTTCACATTGCTATTGTCACCCCTCATGTGTTCCCAGACAAGTGACCCTCTTGTTGCGGGTTATTTCTCACAGCTCATCTAATACCAGCATGCTGTCCTTTAACTAAAAGCAGATGTTGAGAGCTGTTCCAGAACGAGTCCACATTAAAGTCACTGTATGGCATTCTGAGAAGATGATAAGGTAACTGGTGGTGTAGTTGTCTGAAAAGACTGATTGTACAGTATATGTATTATCCATTAATGGGTGAGGAAAGCTTTTGGCTGTTTGTCAAAATTTCAAATAATCCATCAAGCTCAACTTGCTGTGTTAATTCAACAAGAAAAAAAAAAACAACCACATGGGATCTCCACTGTTCTTTTATTGAATGAATATAAAAACTGATGATTTCAGTCTAGGAATCTGGAAGGGTCGGGCAGTCTAGACAGTTGGGTTAAGGTGGAATTAAGCAGAAGGTGATAGAGCTTGGAGACTGGTCTTGACGGTTGCTAGATTGGCCTTCCAGGAGCTGAGGCTGTCATACAGCTGCTGCCACTGCTGCTTGCCAAAGGTGCGGTGTGTGCTGTGGCTGATGGAAATGGAAACAGGAAAGCAAGAATGTTAAACTGACAAAATAAATGCAGGCCAAGGCAATGTCCTGCATCCTTGGAGGAATAAAAGGGCTTATAATAAATGTAACTGAAAAAAGACATGAAATTGGCCTATATTCTGTATTAAAATAGCTAGCTTCTATACAGAAGAAACTTTTTTCTGCATCATGACAAAATAAGCTCTCTCTGCATCCTTGACCACGACCTGAGAGACCAGACTGCATCGGCCAGATTCAGGAATACAAAATACTCCACATACTAATTACTAAGTAAATTCTTGCAGCCTAATATTAGCCTCAACAATTACAGGACAAATCTTAAAAATAATATGAAAAAAAGATAAAAACAGAAGACCTCACATAATAAGAAAAAGAAAAAAGCCTCTTGAATCTAAACCTGAAGTTGTATTTACATCAGAATTTCAGCTCTTTGTTTAGTTTCACTTTTAAATAGCAATGAGAAGCCTATCAGAGTTACAAAAAGGTCCTAAATTTAAATTTAACAAATGATGAATGAGTCACAAGCACTGCGAACACTGATACAGTGTTGTAAGAAGAAATGTATTTAGCACTGTGCGCTTTTATCAACACTGCAGATGTGCTGGTGGTGACACCATCAGTTTCAGGACAGTTGTTTGATAATTCAGGTAAAGTACTTTAAAACTGGGTTGGTACCAGTTCTATAAATGCTGTCATGCTTTACTGCTTAAATGCTTTACTTACTCAAAATGTAACTCAGTAAAGCCGTGTATGATGGTTTCATGGCGCTACTTACCTCACAACAACTTTTCGCTGTGTCTGGTCGATTTTGCAGTAGACCATCTTGGTCCGAACAGCTAAAAAGAAAAAGCAGACAGGAGAGAAATTACGAGAGAGCAAAAGCTCTGACAGAAAGCACTTAAAGCTCCACTGAAACATGAGTACTTTAAGAGAGAATGCACGTGGAGAATGAAATTGGAGACAAAGCTAATCCCTGTCACTAAACACTAAAAGTGCTATCCTTGCTTTTATGCTTTTTTTTCCCCTGCAACTTGTAAAATCCTACTCATGTTCTATCATCACCACGGCATTCTTTTTTCTTTTGTTTTTTTTGTTTTGTTTTTTTTAAGAAGGGAGAGATCATTTTTTGGTAGATGATGGTAGTAAATGAATGACAGAAAATTCAGGCCACTTTCCTTTCTCTTT